GCAAATAAATTTTCTGTTTCTTTATAGAAAGTAGAAAAAAAAGACATACCCCTTTAAGTTTTTATTTGCTTATTTATTTATTTTTATTTATTTATTTTTGGTCTTTTTGAGACAGGTCTCCCTGTAGCCCCAGCTGTCCTGGAACTCACTATGTAGACCAGGGTGGCCTTGAACTCATAGAGATCTACCTGCCTCTGCCTCCTGTGTGCGGGGATTAAAGGCGTGTGATACCACGCCCGGCTGCTTATTTATTTTTAATATTTTGTTATTTTTATTTTATGTGCATGTGTGTATTGCCTTCATGTGTGTATCGCCTGCATGTGTGTATTGTGCAATGCCCAAGGAGGTTAAAAGAGGGCGTCAGATCCCCTGGAACTGAAGTTACAGATGGCTATTAGCGGCCATGTTGATGCTGGGAATTGAACCCAGGTTTTCTGCAAGAGCAGCCAGTGCTCTTAACCACTGAACCATCTCTCCAGCTTCTATTTATTTATTTTTTGAGGTAGGATCTCGCTCTGTAGTCAAGGCTGACCTGGAATTTGCCATGTAGCAAATGTAGCCTCCTGAGAACTGGGATTAAAAGTGTGTGCCACCATGATGAATGACTTTCTTTTCTTCTAATAGCTTAGTAGACTGAGTTCTTCCACACAGTGCCTGGGCTTTTTTTTTTCCATTCCTGAAGACTGAACCCAGGATCTCTCTCAATCCAGTCAGGTATTCTACCACTGAGCCATATCCCTAGCCCTAGGACTATCCTTTTTAAAACCCAGTTACTTACTAACACAGTTCATGGCCTGGCACATTGTATGTAAACTTTGTGAGAGTAAGACTTTATCTTTTTGAGACAGGGTCTCATGTAGCTCAAGGTGGCCTTGAGCTCAGTATGTAGCAGAAGATAATGAACTCCTGATCCTCCTGCCTCTACTTCCTGAGTGCAGAAATTATAGGCATAAGCCACTGTGCCCTGCTCCAAGAGCAGTACTTTCACTCACTATTCGATAAACATTTGCTTCATGGGTGAGTAGGAACTACTAATAAATGTCAAATAAATGGCAGGCTACTTAGCAGTTTACACCATCCAAGCTAAAGAATGTATTATTTGGCTTGGCAGGAGGGAAAGGGGCTAAATTTTCTTCCATTTTTCTTTTTCTTATCCCTTAAGAAAAAGTATTTATTAAAGCATAATATACATACAGAAAATTGCCTATGTAACAAGTGATCAGATTTGTAAATTTTGGGGGGGGAGTACTTTTGAGACAGGGCCTCCCTGTAGCCTCAGCTTGCCTGGAACTCGCTATGTAGACCAGGCTGGCCTCGAACTCAGAAATCCACCTGTGTCTGTCCCCCCAGCTGCTAGGACTAAAGGTGTGTGCCACCATGCCCAGCCGAGATTTGTAAATTTTTGATAATGGAATATATTTGTGTAAATATTACCCAGCTCAAGAAACAGGAGAAAAAGGCCCTAAAGTTTTTAGTTTTTTAAAAAAATAGAAATGTATTAATTATTATTAATGTGCATGATAATGTTTATGAGTGCAAGATGCATATCACAGGCAATATGTGGCAGAGGACAACTTTTGGGAGTTGGTTCTGTCTTTTCCACCATGGGTTCCGGGGATTGATCTCAGCTTGTCAGGCTTGCGCAGCAAGTGCTTTTTCCTGCTCAGCCAGCTGAGCCATCCAACTGGCCCTATGTTCTTTTTTTTTTTTAATGTTTATTAATTTATATGTGTGGGGGTGCCCAGGGAGGCCAGAAGAAGGCATCACATCCCCTGGAGCTGGAGTTATAAGTGTTGATGAGCTGCCTGTTGTGAATCTAGGAAATGAACTCAGGCCCTCTGCAAGAGCATCAGTGTTCTTAACCATTGAACACTCTCTCCAGCCCCCATTTTCTGCTTTTTTTTTTTTTTTTGAAACTGTGTCCTGTATAGCCCAGGCTAACCTTGAACTTGCTATTTTCCTGCTTCCTCAGAGTACTGAGATTTCAGGTATGAGTCACTATGCCTAATAACAATAGGATTTAACTTTTGAAAATAATACTTCATAAAAGTCATTTTTATATAATTTGATAAGAGTCTGACTCTGTAGTGACTCAGATGTGGTTAAATTTTTGCCAGCAAGGCAGCTGCCAAACAGTAGATGCATTTGAATCCTTTTCTAGATGTGATTAAAAGGACAATGTCAGATTTCCTGTAACACTAGACAAAGCCTCAGGCCACCAATTGTATGGTACTCATTTTGTACTCAACATAACGAATAGTGTTGCTTCTGGTTCATAATCCTGTGGGTATAATGTAATAAATTTGTGCCAAAATCTAAATTCTTGCTTCTTGAAAGTATGATTAGAATCTTTCTATATCCATTTCTTTCTTTTTTTTTTTTTGAAGCAGGGTCTCCCTGTAGTCCCAGCTGTCCTGGAACTCACTATGTAGACCAGGCTGGCCTTGAACTCACAGAGATCCACCTGCTTCTGCCTCCCAAGTGCCGGGACTACAGGTGTGCGCCACCATGCCTGGCTTCTGTATCAATTTCTAAGTGTAGAAAAGGCAATGTGGAATATGCTATACTTTGGGCTGCTAATACACAGATTTGTTTAAGGAATATCATTGTGTTGATTTTTAAAGATTATTCTATTTGTGTGCCTGTGTGTAAACACAGGTATGTATGGTGTGTGTGTGTGTGTGTGTGTGTGTGTGTGTGTGTGTGTGTAGGTTAGAGGACAACTTTTAGGAGATTGTTCTCTCTTACTGTGGGCTTCATGGAGCAGGCTCAGGTTATCAGGTTTGCACAGCAAGGGCTTTTACCTACTGAACCATCTTGCCAGCTGTGTTGCTTTCTCTTGTTTCATTAAATAATTTACTTTTTTACTTTTGGTCTTTGAGAACAAATGTTGACAAACTTTTCCTTAAAGACCCATAAGTACATATTTTAGATGTGAGGGCCGTACTATCTTAGTATCAGACTAGCTGTAGGAAATAACATAATGAATGGGAATGGTGTCTGTCTGTCTATTTTGAGACAGGGTCTCATATATCTCAGGATACATAGCTGAGGATGCTCTAAAGTTTCTAATTTTCCTGTCTCTACCTCCCTAGTGCTGGGATTACATGTATGGAACACTACATCCAGGTTATGTGGTGTTGCATGCTCAAATCCAGTGCTTTGTACATGCTAGGCAAATACTCTACCAAGTGAACTACATCCTCACCAGATGAACACTGCAAATGAAATATTATGGAAGATTGGTCATCTAGCAATTTAATGTTTTGAGTGGGTCCTAAAATGCCAGACTGAAGACCAAGTTGTTACATAAATTATGGTATATCTCGTCTGGAGTTACAGCTCTGTGAAGGAGCATTTATTCAACATCTGTGAAGCCCTAGGCTTGATCTCCAACACACACAACACACACAAAGAGACAGTATATCTATCCAGTGAAGTATAAGACATCATTGAAAATGATTGAAATAATATCTTTTTAAATATATATTTTATTGAATTTTTATGCATTTCATATAATACGTCTCCTCCCCCCCATCTGCACCCTCCATAGTCCCCCACCACAGGATTTCATGCATTCTGTCATAGATGTTAAGGCCTATCGGGTCAAGTTTGTGGAAAATAACATCTTGAAGAGTAACAATATGAATGCTTTTTAAGTAGGAAATTAGAATACAAGTTTTAATTTTGCATATTAATGAATATGAACTAGTACTGAAAGGAATGCATAATTAAAAAAATATTTTTTGAAAAAGTTCATATGTTCACCGTACACAGTGCCCTATTGCATGAGGGCATTTTCATACAGGTGCATATTGTGCATTGAGCGTATTCCCCACACCTTTCTTCCTTGCCCTTTCTTACCTCTTGTTCCTCTCATTACTTAATCCCCTTGGTTCCCCTCAACAGTTTTTCTACTTTCAAGTCATATATGCATGCATGATTTTATATATCTATATAAAATCTATGACCCACATAGGGGAGAAAACATACAATATTTGTCTTTCTGAGACTGACTTAACTTGCTCAATGGGGTTATGTCCAGTTGCACCCATTTTCCTGCAAGTGACATGTCTTCATTCTTCTTAATGGTTGAAAAAGATTCTATTGTGTATAAATACCACATTTTCTTTATCCAAGAAGTGTGTACTTTTTTTGTTAGGGAGAAAGATGACGTACAATACTTTTTTTCAAATTGCTCACAGTGTTTTTATATTCCAAACTAAGAATCTTGATTTATCTTGTTGCCAATGAAACTATTTGTAAAAATTCACTAAATACATACAGGTTGAGCATACCTGACCTGAAAATCTGAAATCTGAAATGTTCAACAATCCTAAACTTTTCTATTTCTAGCACTGACTTGATGGCAAAAGTGAAAGATTCTGGGGCTGGTGACATGGCCGTGTAGGTCATACATCTTACTATGCAAGCCTGAGGACCTGAGTTTGAATCTCTAGGGCATTGCCCTGAAAGACAGTAGGATCCCTGTGGCTTGCTGGCCAATGATCCACCTCCAGTTTAGTGAGAGATTCTGTGTCAAGGGAGTAAGGTAGTGTGATAGGGGAGGGTGTCCTCTTCTGGCCTCCATGTGTGCAAGGGTGCCTGCACCCACACACATATAGCACATACACAAAGACAAAAAGTGAAAAATTCCCTCATGTGACAGGTCACAGTCAGAACACAGGTACATTAAAATCATTGTGTAAAATTAACTTCAGCTTGTATATATAAAGTGTATATGAAACATTAATGAATTTTGTGTTTAGACTTACGTCTCATCCTTTAGATAGCTCGTGTTCATGTAAATATTTCAGATCTTCAAGTCAAGCATTTGAGATAAGGGATGCTCATTTCCTTATTATAGTATAATTTATTGCTCAGTGAAGTCCCAAAGCCTCTGTAATAAAGAATAAAGAATAACACTGATGTTTGAGGAGAATATGTTGCCGCTTTGCTCAAGCTACATTCTCATTTTTCTTTTTTTCATATTTTGACAGTGCCCTTATGTATGCCACTTGTTATATTTACTGACAAAAAAAGAGAATGGTGAGTATTTTTACTCCACTTATATTGCATTCACTCTTTAGAATTAGCATTTGTTTTGGCTGTCATAAACTTAAGAAGTAGCATTAGTTATGTGCTAACACTTTCTGAAAATTGATTTTTTTAGTACTTTTATCTAATAGCATGCCTGTAATGGCTGAACTGAAGAGGTATTTATATTTTCAATGTATTGTAAGAAGAAATTATCTGAATTACATGGTAGTTAAGTAGAACCCATTTTCTCTTTTGCCGAAGCAAATGTATAGAACCTCGTTTCTTTACCTTTTCTAGTCAAACCATTTCGTGTGAGAAAATTACTTGATCTTCAGACCAAAATCGTGAGTACTGAAAAGACCTTAAGCTATCCAGTTGCACTATGTGCCTGGCATTGAGCTAGGACTTGGTGATAGAAAGCCAAGTGAGTCATTAGCTTCATGGAACTTACTTTCTGGAGAACTGTCAGCAAAATGGAACAATCACAAACCTGATAGTGGTAGACTACTTTCCTTGTATGTATATGGCCTGGGTTCCATCATCAGCACTGCAAAAAACAAAACCAAAAATGTTAGAATCAGACTTGGGGTTAGGAAGAATGGTTATGGTTGAGACAGATTTGTAGGGATGAAGGAGACGTAAGTAGAAAAAGAAGGGAGAAAATGATACTCCTGCCAGTGGCTATAGCATGAGCAAAGGCAAGTTAACATCAAACAACAAATGCTGTTTAAGAACTGCAGTGTTCCAGCTAGAGCAGTGAAATGATAGGGAGAAGCCAGAAATGAGTTTATAGAGCTTTAAAATTTTATTTATTTATTATGTGTGTGCCATGGCACGTATGTGGAAGCCAGAGGACAACATGCGGTAGTTGGCGGTTTTCTCCTCCACCTCAGGTCATCAGGACTGGCCTGTGGCCATGTCTGTGAGGCATCTTCTTCATTGTTGTGTGATGTGGGAGGGCCCAGCCCACTGTGGGTGGTGCCACCCATGGGCGGGTGGGCCTGTGTTGCATAAGAAAGCAGCCTGAGCAGGGGCCAGGGAGCAAGCCAGTAAGCAGCATTCCTCCATGGCCTGTGCTCCAGTTCCTGCCTCCAGGTTCCTGCCCTGAGTTCCTATCCTAGGCTCCTGATGAACTGTGACCCGGTAGATGTAAGATAAATAAACCCTTTCCTCCCCAAGTTGGTAGTGGTCAGAGTGTTTTGTCATAGCAATGAAGAAACAAACTAAAACAATGACCTCCAGTTACATCCATTCATTTTTATTTTATGTGTATGAGTTTGTTGCCTGTGTATATTTAAGTGCACCTGTGCTGTGCAGTGCCCATGGAGATCAGGAGAGGGCATTGGATCCCCTGGAACTGGAGTTATGGACGGTTGTTAGTCACCATGTGGGTGCTGGGAATTGAACCTAGGTCCTCTCCAAAAGCAACCAGTGCTTTTAACTACTGAACCATCTCTACAGCCTGTTTTTGTTTTTTTAATCTGTCCATTTTCAAATGACATAATCTCATTCTTTATGGCTGAATAGAACTCCATTATGTATGTATACTATATTTTCTTTATCACTTTATCCATTGATTGACATCTTGGTTCCATATTTTTGCTATTGTGTATAATACAGCAATAAACATGGATGTGCAAGTGTGTCTGTGCTATCTTGACTTAGCTTCCTTCACATATATATATCCAGAAGTAGAATAACTGGATTTTTAAAAAAGTGTTTTTTAAAAAAAATTACTTATTTTTATGTGTATGAATGTTTTCGTTGCATGTATGTAAGTGCACCATATGCATTCAATGTCTGAGGTGGTCAGAAGAGGGTATTGGCTCCCCTGGAACTGGAGTTAAGGATGGTTGTGAGCCCCCATGTGGATGCTGGGAAGTGAATCCAGGTCCCCATCCACATTTTAAAAGTATTTTATTTAGTATTTTTATTTTATGTATATGAGTATATTGCCTGCATGCGTGTAAGTGCACCCATGTCATGCAATGTCCGTGGAGGACAGAAAAGGGCACCGGATCCCCTGGAACTGGAGTTATGGACAGTTAGTAGCCGCAATGTGGGTGCTGGGAATTGAACCTAGGTCCTGTACAAGAGCAGTCAATGCTCTTAACCTCTGAGCCAACTCCATCTCTCCAGTCCCATCCCATCCATATTTTTTGAGACAGGATCTCTCAGTGGTCTGGAGTTTGCCAAGTAAGCTAGGTTATCTGGCAAGAGAACCCCAGGGATCCACCTGTCTGCATCCCTAGCATTCATATTATAAGCACATATCATTGCTCATGGCTTTTTGTTAACTTTGTTTCTGGGACGTGAACTCAGGTCTTCATTTCTGCAAGAAATGCATGTTACCAACAGGGCTGTCTCCATAACTCTGAAATTAAGTGTTTTTTAAGACTTAATTTTCATTATATCAAGCTGCTTGACCATTGGATACCACTAATGTGGTATCAGAGAGGGCAGCTGTAAAGATGGAGCATTCGATGAACAGTGACATCAAAAATGGGTATACAATGCATATCACGACCTTCACTGGCCTTCCTAATGAAAATCTCAGGATTTATGATGTTCAGGTCTTAGTATTATGTTTATTTTCTTTTGCTCTGCTTTCTTGACTTTCACTTTTGGTCTTCCTTCCTGATATCTAAATCAAAGATGAGTAAACTTTGAGACTTGAGGATGCTATCATGCTATGCTAGGAAGTAAGACTGGTAAGACTGAAATATGGGCAGAGGAGGAAGAATAGAAGGAAGAAATATATAGGGGAGATAGCCGTAAGCTAGAAGATTATAGGTTGGAGGAGTTTGTTTGTTTTATGATCT